GAAGATTTTAATGTGCATCAAAACTCATTTCAGATACAAGATCATTATGTTTTGCATATCTTAACTCGGCAAGAGTTGTATAATTTTTATGCCAAGAAATAACAAAGAAACTGTGGAATAACTAGGTCAGTATGACACGTAAAACGTGTATATGCACAAACCCGTAAAATTCTACTAGAGGCCTTTAAATCCGTTATCGACTTGGCTAAACCATGTCAGGCTGAGTCCTGATTTATTAAGAATTAAAGTTTTTGAACGTTTTCCAAGAGACACACTTCTACACCAAAACCTTTCGATAAAGTCGCATTTTGCCTACAGATAGACGACTAAGATGATTTCCTTCGTTGCGGCAATCCATAAAACGTAGAGCTTTGATGCTTGTTACCTCCGTCTGGTACAAATATGCATAGACTTTTTCAGCATTTCGTAAGGCATACTTGTTCCGAAAATGCCGAGAAGAATATCGTTTAATTCCATGGCCTGAATTAATCGTTGATTGATAATTCCTACATACAATTGATAACTTACCTCATGCAAAATGCCAAAATTTACGAAAGATTGATAATCATTCGCAAGCCGGCATTAATGCATGTACGAGAATTTCTAACCCCTATTACAAAGTAACTACTTCAACGCAGCTGCTCTATGAATCTAGAGCAGATACTAAAAATAAATTTGGTAGAAATAAAAGCAGTTTGCTTCAAAAAATGCACTTTTTGTTCAGTGCAATCATAAACGTAAACCATTATCATGGCCTGATGCACGTTTTCATCTTCAGATGAGGGAACCGATCCTCGCAGACAAAGTAAGTACACCTTTATCAGACCTAAGTTCTGTTCATGTTACCCGAAATAATTCCCCAAACCACTCTTTCAGTCTCAAACACAATCTTTTTCCACGAGGCGAAGGGGCGCCTTTTCATCACATTTAATCAAAGACTTAGTTTAATGGAAATGAAGCCGGAACAGACGCGAGTCTTCACTCACGATACGCCTGTTGTCGGAGCACTTTACGACACAGCCTTTAATCAGGTTTGTCAAGTAACTTAAGTATTCCTGACTCCACGACTATTTTGATTTTTGTAGTCTA